TCATAAGGGTGCTGATCTGGTTCTCTGCCATCATGACTTAATCATCACCCAAAGGCCCTACCTTCTAATACCATCACATTGGTAATTAGTTTTCTTTTCTTTCTTTTTTTTTTGGTGATTAGTTTCCAATATATGATTTTTGTCTTTTTCAATAAGACAAATATTGTTAGCTCAGTTGGTTAGAGCACGGCCTTACCACACCTAGGTCAAGGGTTTGGCTCCCTGTACTGACTAGCCATCAATATCAAAAAAAGACAAATACTGTATGCTTCCGCTTATATGATGTACCTAGAGAAATCAAAGTCAAAGAGACAAAGTAGAATGGTGGTTGTCAGGGGCTGCAGGAAAAGAATGGGGAACTATTATTTAATGGGTATAAAATTTCAGTTTTTCAAGAGGAAAAGAGTTCTGGAGATTGGTTGCACAATATTGTGAATGTACTTAATGTTAATGAACTATACACTTAAAAATGGTTATGATGGCAAATTTTATGTCATATGTATTTTACATAGAAAAAAACCCCCAAAGAGTTTAAAGCAATGGAGCCTGAAGAATGCAGCACGTGCCTGAGGGGTGCGTGGAATGCAGAGGCACAGTCTCACTTGCTAGAGCTGGTGGGTTGTGGTCTGACCCAAACGAAAGGAAACTCCGGGCAGCCAGTGGTTTCTCCTGTCTAGGCTCCCTGAGCTATGAGGAGCAGTTATGGCATTGAGAATGAACACCAGAAGGATCTTAATGGGCTTTGGGATGGTTCTTCTAGGATTTTGAGCTTGTTGGAGTGCTTTCCATTTCTGTACTCAATCTTGTTATTGACATATACTTTTCCTGTAAAGGAATAGCTTGTGGCCATCTTCTAAGGCACCCCAAAATTGCAAAGGAAAACTATGGCCTCATATCAACATATGAACTTCGGAGGGACACAAATATTCAGACCATAGCATCCACTGCTCCCCTATATGTGGCAGATGAAGCTGATTCCCAGTTCTCCTGCTGGTGATTTTAAGCCAGACAGCGTGCTGAGTACATTCATTAAGGGATGCATACATGGTTTAATTGGGTCCAATGAGATAGAGGGGGCATTTTCTTGGGGATTATAGAATAGAACTTCCCTCTTTTATGAGCAATGTAACAGAAGACACTTTCTCTAATCTACTCTGTGTGGTATAATGATATATGACATTTAGAACTGCACTAGCCATTTTTGCTACTGCAGGGTGACAAATCTAACACATAAAGGAGGGTAAGGCTAAGAAAATTCAGACATGACATGAATCTCTGAATCAGCTTTACTTTTTTTTTTTTTTTTAAGATGACTGGTAACGGGATCTTAACCTTTGGCTTGGTGTTGTCAGGACCACGCTCAGCCAGTGAGCCAACCGGCGATCCCTATATAGGGATCCGAACCCATGGCCTTGGTGTTATCAGCACCGCACTCTCCCAAGTGACTCAGCCAGTGAGCCAACCGGCGATCCCTATATAGGGATCCGAACCCATGGCCTTGGTGTTATCAGCACTGCACTCTCCCAAGTGAGCCATGGGCCGGCCCTTCAGCTTTACTTTTGGACTGTTGAGTTAGATGAGCCAGTAAATCACATTTGTTGTCTGAGATGTTTTGATTTGGGGTTTTGTATTACTGACATCCTGAATTGATATCTCAAGGTAGGGATCAAGTTCCCAAAATGTCAACTATGTTTCTTCTCATAAAAGAAGAGTATTGGGTGACTATTTCTTTTTAAAAGCTACTTGTTATTCTAAAAAGAAATAACTCCTGAACATATGTGTTATGGACTGAATGTTTATGTTCTCCTGAAATTCGTAGGTTGAACTCTTAACTCCCAATGTAATGGTATTTAGAGGAGGGTCTTTGGTAAGTTATTAGGTCATGAGGGTTCTTCCCTTATGAATGGGATTAGGGCCCTTATAAAATAGATTTCTTAGAACTCCCTCAACCCTTTCACCACGTGAGGACACAGTGAGTAGACTGCCACTACGAACCAGGAAGTGGGCCCTCACTAGACACCAAATCTGCTGTGCTTTAATCTTAGATTTCCCAGCCTCCAGAACTGTGAGAAATACATTTCTGTTGTTTACAAGCCACCCAGACTATGGTATTCTGTTATAGCAGCCTGAACAAACTAAAACAATTGATATCCCTGGAAAAAGTATACAATTCCAGGAGCCATACTGACAATGTTCCTTTATTAAGCTTGGTTAGGGAGTTGAGGGGACTGGGGGAAGGATGCCAACCAAGTATTATTCAAATTAACCTAATTATAAAGGTTTTTCCCCCTCCCCCCGCCCAACCTCTCCAATCTGCATAGAGAATTTAAGCATATAAAAAGAGGTCAAAGAAAATTATCAAATCAAAATTTGAGATCTGAAAGTTTTTAATATGTTGCTAAAACTAACGGACTTTTTTTTTTTTTTAAACTAACAGACATTTTAAAGTTCTATCTCTTTTGTCTCAGCACATTTTGACACTCTAGATGATTCCATTCTTGAAGCGTTCTTTTCACTTCTCTTGCTGGTCCAACTCTGTCTTCTTTGTCAGTTCACTCTTCTCTGCTGAGCCAAATCTTGATCCTAAGTTACCTTCTCTTCATTCCATGTTATCTCCTTATGTGACCTCATTCATGATCTTAGCTTCAAACACCACGTATACTAAGATAATTCACAGATTTATATTATTTTCTACCACAGTGTAATCTGACCTTCATATTCAAATATCCACCTGCTTACTGGACATCTCTTCCTGAATGTCTCAAAGTCCCCTCCAACTCAACATACCCAAAATTAAATCCAACCATCCTTCCCTAAACACCTGGTTCCCCTATGCGCCATACAGTCTCTTAAATTAGAAGCCTGAGAGTCATCCTTCCTGTCTTTATCTCCCTCATCTGGCCCATCATTGACCTTGACTTCTTAATCTGTCTTGTATTCATCCAAATCTCTCCGTCTTTATCACCAGCACTCTAATTTGAATTTCCGTATTGCTCTGATTATTGAAATAAACTCTCAACAGATCTACTTACATTTTCACTTTTTCTTCCTTTAATAATCTTTTTTGAACTCTGCAGCCAAGGTGATCTTTTTGAAATGTACGTTTGATCAGTTCAGCTTCCCATTACTCCAAGGTTATGTACTTATTATGCAGCCCTTTAAGAGAATGAGCTAGTCCTGTACATACTAATCATAGTGGTTAAGAATGCAGACTCGGGAACTGGCCGGTTTGCTCACTTGGTTAGAGCGTGATGCTGATAACACCAAGGTCCCAGGTTTGGATCCTGGCCAGTAACAACAACAAAAAGAATGCAGACTCCCCTTACTGTCTAGTGTGTGGCATTTTAGATATGTTCCTCATCTATTCTGTGCCATAAAAATCCCTACTTCGTAAGATTGTTGTGAGGAGTTAATGAATCGATCCAACAAAAACACTGATAACAGTGCCTGGTGCTATTAGTATTTTATTAGCTATTATTGTCATTACTGATATGGAAGGACACTTGTGGTATATTATTTGTTGAAAAGATAAAGTATAATATGTGTAGTAGGATTCTTTTTTTTTTTGTTGTGTTTTTGGAGGTTGGCCGGTAGGGGATCCCAACCCGTGACCTTGGTGTTATCAGCACTGCTCTAACCAAGTGAGCTAACCGGCCAGCCTAGTAGGATTCTTTTTGTCAAAACAAACAAAAATCTGTGTGTAGGTACACACACACACACACACACACACACACGGTCTGCACATGTGGAGACCCTGAAATTTTTACATGGGAGGAATTAACTAGTTGCTACCTAGTTTTGTCTGGAGGTTAAAGATGCATAACAAATTTGGTGTAGCTACTTTATACAGTCACAAAAATAGTCAGGAAAGGTTGTAGGCACGGAACTGTTAACAGGGATTTGTCTGGGGAGTGGGATGAAGGGATGGTGGGTATTGGGGGAAGGTGTTGATCTTTATACACTTCTGTATTGTTTGTAAATAGTTCGTTGTGCATTTATTTTGGAGGCAACATCAAATAAAAGAGCAGGAGTGTCTATCAAAAAAGGGATTGATTAACTTAACTATAAAGCCATTAACAAAAAGGGTGGCGGTAGAGTTAGGCCATACATAGGGTTGCATATATACGTGTGCAGAGACAAGACCTCGAGGATGCACACTTAAATGTTAACTGTTAACCATAATTTTCTCTGGGGAGTAGAATAGTGGAGCCGCGAGCAAGAACGTTCACTTTCAATTTTATCATATTCGGAATCATTTGCATTTTTTTTACAAAGATCATGTATAATTTCTATAAAAAAATAAAGGAAATAAGAATGTCTTTAGAATTGTGTAACTACTTTGTACTTGCCAATGTTACATCTGGAATGACATCTGTTCACTTTTCAAGACATTAATTAGGGCCTTATAGATTTCCGCTTTTAGGAATAAATGCCATTCCAGTCCATTTAGGATCCTGATTTCTTCCTCTTATACAAAACAACAAAAAAAGAAGTATCCGATCTTGTACCTAACTTATGACAGTACCACCACTTAAAGTACAGCAATTATGCAGTCCCTTGATTTGAATCCCATTTTACAAGTGTATAGGGCCTCATGGACAAACTGAAGGAATTAAATTAAGATCGGTATATAGAAAATAAATCACTCGGATTACCAAAAAGAACGTCGGTATCTAATAAAATCTTAACAGCTCCCGTAACCATATGCTCGTATACTTCGACCTGAACTTTTCGCAGGGCTTAGTGAGTCCCGCTCGCTCGGTGGCCCCGTGTCTAAGAGCATCAGCAGCAGCCTCTATGTCACTGCTGCCTGTCGGGGCCGTTCGCGGCGCTGGGGCTCGCCCGGGACTGAGTCAGCGCCGGGGCGAGAAGTTCGGCACGAGGCGCAGGGCGGGGCTTCCTCCCGCCGACTCCGAACCCGGCTCGACTTTTCCGAGTCCACGTCTCTTCCTTTGGACAGGCGTGTTTCCTCAGGTCGGGCCCAGCCAACGTGACAGCCGCAGACTTTTCAAAAAGGGAGCTTCGGCCCCCGCGTCGAGGGGCTCCCCCGGCCGGGGTAGCCCGGGCTCGCTCCGCTCGGCCAAGCCCCTCACGGACTTAACAACGCGCGGCGCCGAGCGCGGCATCCCCGGCATGGAGACCGGCTCGGACTCAGGTCAGAGGCCCGCGTGTCCGGCCTGCGCTGGGGCCGCGGCAGACTGCTCGGCGCGCGGCGGGGCGGCTAGGCCGGGCCGCCC